CTATATTTTGCGTTACAAGCCCCTGTGCATGTGGCGACGAGGCCAGGCAGTTCTGGACTCTCATGGGGGTTATACAAGATATTGAAAACAGATGACCTTCACCTTGACATTCAATTGTTTATGTGTGTCATGATGAACCTTGGTAATTTATGATGGTTTGTGACAGGTTTGGACAATCTATTATGAACTGTTTACTAAATATATCACACATTTAGGTAACATATGAAAACCACTTTACGTTTCTTCTTTTGCAGAGTACATTTTGCCCGATTCCCTAAATTAGTGCACCAATTAGAGCGTTCAACGATACGGGTGATCCAGTCGTCTAAGCTGCGCAATTTGCCAGAAACCTATGATAGTGGGTTGGAATCCCGGGTCGCGCGATAATGATTCCATGCTTGTCAGCATCAGTGAGTGAGTAAAGTTTTACACCGCTTTTAGCAATACTCCAGGAATATCACGGCAGAGGACACCAGAAATGGGCTTCACACATTATACCCATGTGGGGAATTGAACCCGGATCTTCAGCGTGACTAGCGAACGCTTAAACCACTAGGCTACCCTACCGCCCCTTGTCACCATCAGTGCCCCGCTCATGTATTTTATTAAGGAGGCTTGTCTCCCACATTAAGCTGAGACTGGTGAGATGTTTACAACATAAAACACAGTTCACAGCAACAAAACACAACATTATTAAAACACAAATCACTCACACACCCACTCTGTTCGCTAATGCATTTGACAAAGATGATCTTGAATGCTACCCGTTATATGTATCGCAACACCAATGTAGGCCTAGTGTTTTTGGGTTGCTTTATGGTAATATGTTAAAAATTGTCTAGAGCACGGATTACACTTATCTTTATGTTACAGCTCTTGTTACACTCACAATAGGCAATAGGAAGATGGCAATCCTAGCTGATTCCATTTAAAGTGAATGGAATTCGACCGTCGATCACTTTAAACAGAATCCAGTCGATGTCTTGCTCATGTTTCCGTGTAGTATGTTAGTTCCAGGACATTGGAGCTTTCAATAGGATGGTCCCTATTGATGGATGCTGTCACGCTAGCTAATCTAAGGCGGATATGCAGACAGGCATGCGGCGCACAACAAGCAACACATGGAAAAAACTAATTGATTCTTTCAACCACGCAGTTCGTTGTCACAAAACGTCGATAAAAGATTATTACATTTCATTTTGCGTCATTTTTTTGTATTACATCAATACCTTTTTAAAGAATAGTCTATAAAAATCACCTCTGAAATCCATTCTGGTTCCTGTGCAATTCGTATATACTGATAGGCAAAAGAAACTACACATCCTTTTTTGATGATTTGTATAAATGAACCAAACATGATATGGTTATTCGTTTGTACTCTTTTCAATATGGGTATCACACTAGTATCATAGACCTTGGTTTGCAGTGTTTTGATAACGTTCCTGATGTTTTAGTAAAATGCAAGTTCATGAATGACGATCATGATACATTGTTCCTGAATTCTTTTCATGCTGGGGCGGTGGGGTAGCCTAGTGGTTAAAGCGTTCGCTCGTCACGCCGAAGCATCGGGTTCGATTCCCTTCATGGGTACAATATATGAAGCCCATTTCTGGTGTCCCCGCCGTGATATTGCTGGAATGTTGCTAAAAGCGGCGTAAACTCACTCACTCACTTACTCTTTTCATGCAAGGGATAAATGCATTCAACGATTAACATTCATTTATGTCAAATTCTTTATTATGTGCTCCATTAAAAACAGACTCCGAAACGGGTCGTGTGATACGGCTGGTTAATTACGAATTACAGCGTTCACCCAGTAACCTCACCTGTGTACAGACGTTTAAGTAACGCATCTGCTGCGGTCAATTTTACCCTGTATGAAACCAGACGACGAGTTTTTGATGACGAGTCCACAATTGTGGGAAGTATGTGTGGCAGCTGAATGTGAAATATATGTGACGTAACGCGCGACAAATAATAGGCATATTTCTCTTTGTAAACAGTATCCTTACAAACTGATCTTAGCTCTTCCACTGACATACGTACCCATGAAGGTGAGGTGAGGTGAGGTGAGGTGAAATTAACGTCGTGCTTGAGAATATTTCGCTCATATGACGACGGGCATGCGTGTGTATGTGTATGTGCGTCTGCGTGTACTAGCCCAGACTTAAGCTGGTTTTATAGTGCTAGCCCACTGAGATACCATGCCGCAGTGAAGCATGAATACCCCACTCAGACACAGTATACTGACTCCGAGCCGACCAGTCCTTGTTGTACCCATTAATACCGAGCGCCAGGCAGGTACAAGTACCATATTTTAACAGGGATCGAACCCGCGACCTTCCACTCTACGGGCGGACGCTCTAACCACTACACCACGGAGGCGGTCACGTACCCAGGTTAGTATTGGTCTTAAGAGGTGACTAACGGGATCGGGTGGTCAGGCTAGCTGACCTGGTCGACACGTGTCATCGTATCCCATGTGCGTAGATCGATGCTCATACTGTTAATTGTCTGGTCCAGACTCGATTATTTACAGACCGCCGCCATATAGCTGGAATATTGCTGAGTGCGGCATTACACAACAAACATTGACGTACGTCTTGGTAAAAGTATAGGCGTTACGGCGGCCATCACTGCCTATGCAAGTCTAGAATATGTGGCCTGTCTGGATTGCCATAGTTTATGAAAACGAAAACACCTTGTGGAATCTATGGACGTTTTTGTAAAATATGTTCATTTCAGAAATAATATATATGTAAGTTTAAGTTTAAGACTTGCCGAAACATTGTAAACTTGCGATGGATTCATTTCACAGTATTTTTCTAGTCGACAGGTGTTCGTGTTACATATCGCTCGACGAGATTTGGTTTTAATCCGGTATCTGATTCACTACCGTATAAAACAAAAACCAACAGCACTGGTTTGATTCAACGAAATCGTCCAACTTTATGCAGATTAATATATGTTGATATAACGTTATATAAACACAGACACACAGATATATATAATGTGCATGTAACTGCATATTTAATATCAGAGCATTTATACAAAGACAAGTAATTTCAAAGAGATTTAAGAATATATCGTTACTAAAGCCTTTTCATATAACAGACAACCCTTCAGACTTGCAAAACATAGTAACACTAAGCTAAACTCGGATAGGAAACGGGTTGAATGTAATCCATTATCCAAAGAATACCAGCTTAAAGCTATATCTACCATTAACGTAACTGACATTTTTTGTCTCAAGCTATAGGAGCAAATAGTAAAATACAGTAAAATGTTTCTGAATGTCCAAGAATGAGGAAATTGTTCCGCTGAGATTGACAATATTGGCACGATGCCGTGTATTTGTAAATACAGTTAAACACTGTTGTCTCGAAGGCTGATGTGTCTCAAATTAAAATTTTGCCCCTTCGCATTCCTACTTTAGTTATCATTTTGCAGTTGTGTCGAAACTCGGATAATTCGAAGTATTTACGTAGGTTCTTCAACTTCGACACAACGGGGTTTGACTAGTATCGGAACGAAATCGGTAGTGTTGATTTTAATTTGTCTTTTCATTGCTATGTTCAAAGATTTGTTCTTTGGTATTTGACCCTGTTTGTCAGATTAGGTTGGTTATTAACGTAACTAAGGCCAAGCTTTGTGATACACAACGCCTATACGCACATACAAGACACAATGATGGTATTGTCAAGTGGCTGAAGAGAATATCAGTGCCCCATTAGCTGCAGAGATAACACATGCAGGGATAACTCGTGGTACAGCTTCATGGCTGTTGCTAGGACACCAAACACTTCCGAAGTTGTAGGTACAGGTGTCACCAAGATGGACCAGTACACAGAAAGATCTTTGCAAAAACACGATCGCAACGTTTACATGGACTTCTTGCAGTCTCTGTGTAAAGGTCGGTTCTTGGAAGAGGGCCCTGCGTGTGTCCCACCTTGACTAACGCTTAGTCTCTGAATATATGCATTTTTGATAGAACTAGCTAACTCAGTTTAAACTGAAAATGAGCCCCACTGCAAAGGAGGAACATCTAGACTTGCTTCATAAAGGGCTTTAGCATTGAGGAAAGGGATGGGCGGAAGGGAACATCATTTGGTTCAGGGACAGTGCGAGTTGTGTTTCACCCAACTATTTCCAGACTTTGATAGCACTCACCGAGGCTGGTAAGCTTGGTGGGTGTGACTCCAACCCTCTGTTCTAAAATAATTTAGGTGTGCATTTCGGTAAACTACATTTTCAATTTGGTACTAATTTACTAGATTAATACACAAGATTCAAGAATCTAAATAATCAGCAGTCAACCAAAACTGTTGTTTATACGGCCAAAGATTCACGTGTCTTGTAACGAATTCCGTTAAGAAGGATACAGTCCGAACAGACCGATTAGTTTTGCATGTGTTGCTGTTAGGCCTCACTGGAGTCAAACGTAGTACTGCGAGCTTGGTTCTATGTGATCATGTGCATTCAGAATTGCACCCTTAAACATAATGTGTACATCGTAGTCACGCTTTTCTGCATATATTGAAACGTATTGTAGGGTGAACTTCAGTTGAAAACTATTGGAGGGTGAACTTTAGTTGAAAACTATTGGAGGGCGAACGTCAGTTGAAAACTATTGGAGGGTGAACTTTAGTTGAAAACTATTGCAGGATGAACATCAGTTGAAAACTATTGGAGGGTGAACGTTAGTTTAAAACTATTGTAGGGTGAACATCAGTTGAAAACTATTGTAGGGTGAACTTTAGTTGAAAACTATTGTAGGGCGAACGTCAGTTGAAAACTATTGTAGAGTGAACTTTAGTTGAAAACTATTGGAGGGCGAACGTTAGTTGAAAATTATTGTAGGGTGAACATCAGTTGAAAACTATTGGGGTTGAACGTCAGTTGAAAACTGTTGGAGGGCGAACGTCAGTTGAAAACTATTGGAGGGTGAACGTCAGTTGAAAACTATTGGAGGTTGAACGACAGTTGAAAACTATTGGAGGGTGAACTTCAGTTGAAAACTGTTGGAGGGTGAACTTTAGTTGAAAACTATTGGAGGGTGAACTTTAGTTGAGAACTATTGGAGGGTGAACGTCAGTTTAAAACTATTGGAGGGTGAACGTCAGTTTAAAACTATTGTAGGGTGAACATCAGTTGAAAACTATTGTAGGGTGAACTTTAGTTGAAAATTATTGTAGGGTGAACATCAGTTGAAAACTATTGTAGGGTGAACTTTAGTTGAAAACTATTGTAGGGCGAACGTCAGTTAAAAACTATTGTAGGGTGAACTTTAGTTGAAAACTCTTGGAGGGCGAACGTCAGTTGAAAATTATTGGAGGGTGAACGTCAGTTGAAAACTATTGGAGGGTGAACATCAGTTGAAAACTATTGGAGGTTGAACGTCAGTTTAAAACTATTGTAGGGTGAACATCAGTTGAAAACAATTGTAGGGTGAACTTTAGTTGAAAACTATTGGAGAGCGAACGTCAGTTGAAAACTATTGGGGGTTGAACGTCAGTTGAAAACTATTGGAGGGCCAACGTCAGTTGAAAACTATTGGAGGGCGAACGTCAGTTGAAAGCTATTGGAGGGCTACCGTTCACACCATTGGAGACTTTCGTTGTGAATGCACTAGGCCAATCTCAATCTTTCATTTATCTGACTTTGTTTTAGGTAAACTGTCATCACGAAACATGCCCTGCGGTCTTGGTTCGTTCACAACGTCGTCACCGGCAATGGCAGAATATCACTTCTCTGCTTGGTTTCACGTTGTGTGCGTCATAAATATACATACAAAGTCAGCTATATACTGGGCGTGTTGACAGTATGGGATATAGGATCAGGATAATCTGTGAAGTCCGATTAGTAAGGACCGGACAGGAAGTCGGTGATAGCGGTGACTGCGCATGACAGCACATATATATGTATATATTAAAGGCACGTGACACATGGAGGGCGAGGTTATTGGTTCTCGATGATGTACTCGGAGAACTCTGAAAAATATAAATGAACATATTGAATATACATGGTGGTATGAACATACAGAACATATTTGGCTTGTGTTTCTCATGATATGAAAGAACACCAGTCACCGGTAGGTATGTTCAGTCTGTCACATTTCGAGGAGGCAGTGGTATAACTGGAATGTTGCTGAATGTTGCTGAGTGCGAGATTCGCAACTTACGAAAGGACCGACCAGCTCACGATCAACCCTAAGTACACGTTGCGCACATACTCTTATGATTCATGGGAATTCAGAAATGTTTTCATCGGTTCTATAAACAACTTTCCATAATATTATGATCTCCCACATCGAGGTCATCATTTATGCTTGTCCGATTTCATGGCGACGCTGAATGCTGCCAGTCCTAACGTTGCGAGACCAAACCAATATTTGCCAATATTGATACGCATTGATCTTGTTAACGAGTGCAGTGGGGCGTACATGTGAATGAATACAATATTAAGAGCTTAGAGCATTACTGCGCAGTAATACAGAGGCTCGAATTATACACTGGGAGGAATTAGGTGACAAACAGTTTAATAATAGCTGTGAAGTTGAAATATGGGCCTCATAAATTGGTTGAAATACCCTGGCAAGATCGGCATTTCCGTTTGTATGCATAAACAAAACGGCGAGTATTATTTCGTTGCCCCACATTAGGAAATCGTTTAATTGTGAATAAATTCTCTTTCACGGTTGTACCCTACATCAGCATGGATATTGAATATTTATAACTAATCAATTTTGGAAAACTGGCTCCTATACACGGGCCGCGGTTTACACCACAGGAAAACCCATATCTTCTGTGACGTCATATCTGGTATGTGATTGGTTGGATATAATAGCTTTATCAGTATCTTCTATGTTACCATTTAGAGGTTCTGAACATATATTGGTGATGTGGAATATAAGCGTGATTTTATAAAACAATAAAGGTTTCGAATCAGGGCCCCGATCCGGTCTAAGTAAACTTAGTCTCAGTATTAATCGTTACACTACTGTAACGAATACTACTGAGCATAAGTATACAGTGACTGGGCCGCGATCCATAAAACGTTCGAAGCGTTACGACATTCGCAAGCCTATGATAAGCTATAGAGTTACGACAGGTCGTAACGTTACGAGCGTTTTGTTGATCGGGACCATGAATTGTAATTAGTCACTAATAAGTGGGACTTGCAATGGTTTGAACACTGCGAAACAAAAATAAATCACTATTCAATGATTCCGGGGCCTAGAAACGTTCCAATTTCTAACTACTTGTCTCCGACTTATGACAGGATGAGGTGGTAATAGTTGTTATCTTGATTTGTTATCCCTACTGATGCAGTTAAACTCTTATTTTACCTGGTCACCACAGTTTGACTTGGTTTGTTATTTTACGCCGCACTCAGCAATATTCCAACTATATGGCGGCGGTCTGTAAATTATCGAGTCTGGACCATACAATCCAGTGATCTACATCATGAGCATCAATCTACGCAACTGGGATACGATGACGTGTATCAACCAAGCCAGCGAGCCTGACCACCCGATCCCGTTAGTCGCCTCTTACGACAAGCATGGGTTACTGAAAAACAATTCTAAACGGACCTTCACGGGTCGGTAGGGGTGAGGACATTGAGTACTGTCTAGGGTACGTACCTTTCAGGGAGAGGAAGCCGTCACCATCTTTGTCTGCGGTTCTGATGATGTCGTCTAATTCGGCATCCGTGAGCGGCCTCTCAGAAATGCTCTTCATTCCCTCTCGCAGCTCCCGTCGACAGATGAAGCCGTCCTTGTTTGTGTCGAAACACTGCACCACACACAGATAAAAAGTGTCAGCCAGGTATGACGAATCACGGGTCTTACATTCAGCGTCGAGCAGTTACACAGACAGACAAAACATTCAACCAGCTCCGGATGTATCGAAAACTAATTATATAATAGCCTTTACATTCAGCGTCGTCTCGAAACACCGAAACAAAACAGTCAGCCATCCCCGGTTGTATCGAACATTCAGGTCGTCTCGAAACACCGACTAACAATTCAACAATGTCCCTATTACTAGCCTGTCATTAAAGTGTGGTAGATTGTTACAGTAATATTTTCGCGAAGAATACATCTTCATAATCCGGTGTTCGAGACATCAAATAAACTTATTGATACTTTTGTTTGCATTCTTCCAACGTTCTAGTGAGTGAGTGAGTGAGTTTAATTTTACGCCGCACTCAGCAATATTCCAGCTATATGGCTGCGGTCTGTAAATAACCCTGTCTGGACCAGACAATCCAGTGATCAACAGCATGAGCATCGATCTACGCAATTGGGATACGATGACATGTGTCAACCAAGTCAGGAAGCCTGACCACCCGATCCCATATTAGTCGCCTCTTACGACAAGCATGTGCTACTGAAGATCAATTCTAACCCAGATCTTCACGGGTTCCAACGTTCTCGCATTGAGAGATGTTCGTTGGTCATAGTACATCGTCAGTGTTCTTGAAAACCTCGTGGGGATTTGGCATTTTGTAGCAGGTCTAAAGAAACGGATGTAGGTCGTAATCGGAGACTCCATGCATCCAGGGTCAGGTTTGCAGGTATCGTTATTGTGCCTCTTCGGGCGTTGCTCATGATATCAGTCACCGGTTTGTCTGGTCCAGACTAATATATTGCATGTCACATTCATATAGCCCGAATATTGTGGAAAGAGTCAAGTTTACTGTCAGGCGCGTAGCAAGCCAATTTTTTCGTGTAAGCCCGATAGGTTGCACAACTGTACATTTAGATAGTATTGAGAGCTTGCCCAACCTTTTTTAGCAATAATCATATGTAAGCCCAGGTTGTTTTTTTCCGTAATGGAAGCTACGCCCCTGACTTTCGCTTAAAGATCTTACTTTTCATAAAACTGAAAATGCAGTGCGCATGCTTCATATGGCAACACAGTAGACTATTGTTTATAACGAACACACTCGTAACGAACTGACGGATAACACGAACTGTGTTAGGCCCGGAAACTGGTTCTATATTACAGTCACAATGCTTATAACGAACTACGGTTATAACGAACTGACGGATAACACGAATTGTTTTAGGCTCGGCAACTGGTTCTATATTACAGTCACAATGCTTATAACGGACTACGGCTATAACGAACTGATGGATAACACGAACTGTTTTAGGCCCGGCAACTGGTTCTATATTACAGTCACAATGCTTAAAACGAAATACGGTTATAACGAACTGAACTACGCGTCCCCTTTGGTCCCTGATAACCGTAGTTTAATGTACTGGTTTGTGTATCGAGTATTGTTTAATCCTGATGAGTAGGTTGTCATGGATACGTTGTCAAAATAGCAAGCCGGAAAATGTCAAAGAATGGTAATGTTTCTCAACGGCACCCGAGGGCCATGTCGCAGATGAAGTCGCCCTGGCAAGACGTCGATGAGACGAGTGCAGTGTGCGGAATTTACGCTGGTCCTGTGGTTCCTGGCTAGTAAAAATTCATATAAATGATAAGTTTGCAGTGGTCCTGGTGGCCAGTGAATTTTGTATCTACGAATGTTATTTTGGATCAGTGAAATACAGACATGACCACTAATTATTGTCTACTCACCGGTCCTGTGGTCAAGGTGGAAATTTTGAAACGTTTCTTTCCCTGCGAGTGTAGTCTATTATACATGTCATCCTTATGTGGTCCATCCTCGATAATCTCCAGGGTATACGTTACGATCACTCTCCACTATATAATCTCCAGGGTATACGTTACGATCACTCTCCACCCCTAGATATAATCTCCAGGGTATACGTTACGATCACTCTCCACTATATAATCTCCAAGGTATGAGTTACGATCACTCTCCACTATATAGTGGAGAGTGATCGTAACGTATACCCTGGAGATTATCGAGGATGTATGTGGTCATACTTGTGCGAAATGAACTGAACCAACAGAAGTTACCACAGTTCTGGAAACCACCATGGACTTTGATACAGTTTACTAGGTTTTAGACAATATGACGTGGGCCAATGTCCGAAATAAAACACTGACCTTGCAACTACAGATATGATTGAATGTGGCTGCCAAGTCAAGAGCCATTGCTGTTACTCACAACTGTGAGAGCGAAACAAGACTTTCATTTAACATATGTTATATGTGGTATTACACTTTCTTAGTAAAGTACAGATTCTAGTACTTTTGTTGGGTTCAGTCCCATCCGGGATTCGAACCCACACCCTCAGAGTCAGGCACCTAATCGCCTGCACAAAAAGTCAGCCACCTAACCCGTTCAGCCACCGCGGGGATTCACCAAGACTTTCATTGTTTGATAAAGCTACCATAATTGCCTTACTTATTCTGGAGTATTTACATCAACAATCAAAAGTATATATTTGCCTATAGTTTATTATATTCATTATCATAAAATGCATTTATTCATGTTTAAAGCGAACTGGTTTAACGATGTCGCCAATAGCCTATTAACCAGAGTAACGCACCGCTGGGGTTCAGCGGAATGAGGAAACTTTGAAACTTTGGTCAACCTAAGTATGACTTAAATAAGTTAATATGTTGTAACACAGGGTTAACTGTGGTCATACCTTGGTGACCGGGGATTCACCAAAGTCGTCCAGCTTTGGAAGTCGAACGCGAATGTTGTCATGGCGATCGTTAACACAATCAGCTATCATTCTCTATGCGTTATCGATAAAGCTGTTTCCTGCATTTAGACGTCAGAACTACACACTAAACCTGATTATTATTCCAGGTCTGAATCGTTTAATATGACAATAAAATACAGAGCACGGGATGATGGAAACGATGATAAGTACTGAGGGTATATTGACCAAAGTTTGCCCCAGGTACCAAAGGTATGTACTAAACCGTTGTACTCCTCTCTCACTCTCACTCACTCTCTCTCACTCTCACTCACTCTCTCTCTCTAACTCTCTCTCTCTCTCTCTCTCTCTCTCTCTCTCTCTCACACACGTACGTTTTGTGCAGGTCGGCCAACAGAATGCAATATTTAAAATTTCTAATACACGGTGTCTCTCTCCCTCCACTCCCTCCCCTCTCTCTCTCTCTCTCTCTCACACACACACACACACACAGGTTTGTCTGGTCCAGACTAATATATTGCATGTCACATTCATATAGCCCGAATATTGTGGAAAGAGTCAAGTTTACTGTCAGGCGCGTAGCAAGCCAATTTTTCGTGTAAGCCCGATAGGTTGCACAACTGTACATTTAGATAGTATTGAGAGCTTGCCCAACCTTTTTTAGCAATAATATATGTAAGCCCAGGTTGTTTTTCCGTAATGGAAGCTACGCCCCTGACTTTCGCTAAAGATCTTACTTTTCATAAAACTGAAAATGCAGTGCGCATGCTTCATGGCAACACAGTAGACTATTGTTTATAACGAACACACTCGTAACGAACTGACGGATAACACGAACTGTGTTAGGCCCGGCAACTGGTTCTATATTACCGTCACAATGCTTATAACGAATGCGGTTATAACGAACTGACGGATAACACGAATTGTTTTAGGCTCGGCAACTGGTTCTATATTACAGTCACAATGCTTATAACGGACTACGGCTATAACGAACTGATGGATAACACGAACTGTTTTAGGCCCGGCAACTGGTTCTATATTACAGTCACAATGCTTAAAACGAAATACGGTTATAACGAACTGAACTACGCGTCCCCTTTGGTCCCTGATAACCGTAGTTTAATGTACTGGTTTGTGTATCGAGTATTGTTTAATCCTGATGAGTAGGTTGTCATGGATACGTTGTCAAAATAGCAAGCCGGAAAATGTCAAAGAATGGTAATGTTTCTCAACGGCACCCGAGGGCCATGTCGCAGATGAAGTCGCCCTGGCAAGACGTCGATGAGACGAGTGCAGTGTGCGGAATTTACGCTGGTCCTGTGGTTCCTGGCTAGTAAAAAATTCATATAAATGATAAGTTTGCAGTGGTCCTGGTGGCCAGTGAATTTTTGTATCTACGAATGTTATTTTGGATCAGTGAAATACAGACATGACCACTAATTATTGTCTACTCACCGGTCCTGTGGTCAAGGTGGAAATTTTGAAACGTTTCTTTCCCTGCGAGTGTAGTCTATTATACATGTCTTATGTGGTCCATTATGTGGTATACGTTACATCTCCACTATATAGTGGAGAGTGATCTATACTGGATATAATCTCCAGGGTATACGTTACGATCACTCTCCACCCCTGGATATAATCTCCAGGGTATACGTTACGATCACTCTCCACTATATATCTCCAGTGGAGAGATCACTCTCCACTATAGTCTGTAACATATACCCTGGAGATTATCGAGGATGTATGTGGTCATACTTGTGCGAAATGGACTGAACCAACAGAAGTTACCACAGTTCTGGAAACCACCATGGACTTTGATACAGTTTACTAGGTTTTAGACAATATGACGTGGGCCAATGTCGAAATAAAACACTGACCTTGCAACTACAGATATGATTGAATGTGGCTGCCAAGTCAAGAGCCATTGCTGTTACTCACAACGAGAGCGAAACAAGACTTTCATTTAACATATGTTATATGTGGTATTCACTTTCTTAGTAAAGTACAGATTCTAGTACTTTTGTTGGGTTCAGTCCCATCCGGGATTCGAACCCACACCCTGAGTCAGGCACCTAATCGCCTGCACAAAAGTCAGCCACCTAACCCGTTCAGCCACCGCGGGATTCACCAAGACTTTCATTGTTTGATAAAGCTACCATAATTGCCTTACTTATTCTGGAGTATTTACATCAACAATCAAAAGTATATATTTGCCTATAGTTTATTATATTCATTATCATAAAATGCATTTATTCATGTTTAAAGCGAACTGGTTTAACGATGTCGCCAATAGCCTATTAACCAGAGTAACGCACCGCTGGGGTTCAGCGGAATGAGGAAACTTTGAAACTTTGGTCAACCTAAGTATGACTTAAATAAGTTAATATGTTGTAACACAGGGTTAACTGTGGTCATACCTTGGTGACCGGGGATTCACCAAAGTCGTCCAGCTTTGGAAGTCGAACGCGAATATTGTCATGGCGATCGTTAACACAATCAGCTATCATTCTCTATGCGTTATCGATAAAGCTGTTTCCTGCATTTAGACGTCAGAACTACACACTAAACCTGATTATTATTCCAGGTCTGAATCGTTTAATATGACAATAAAATACAGAGCACGGGATGATGGAAACGATGATAAGTACTGAGGGTATATTGACCAAAGTTTGCCCCAGGTACCAAAGGTATGTACTAAACCGTTGTACTCCTCTCTCTCTCTCACTCTCTCTCTCACTCACTCTCTCTCTCTCTCTCTCTAACACTCTCTCTCTCTCTCTCTCTCTCTCTCACACACGTACGTTTTGTGCAGGTTGCAGGTCGGCCAACAGAATGCATGTTTATTTGACGCATTTAAAATTTCTAATACACGGTGTCTCTCTCTCCTCCACTCTCTCTCACACACTGGAACACTCACACACACACACACACACACACACACACACTCAAAAATTAGAAGACTACCTGCGTCACTATAACCTCGTTTCCTCATCTTATTTTCATCTTACACAGAATGTTTATCTGACGCATGTGTTAATGTGCTAATAAAATACCCTGCTCTATCGGAGCTGGAACAGGTTGTGGCAACAAATGATAGCTACTCCTGCTTTGTGAGTGTAATCAATCACATAAATTATGCGACTGCGCATTCGAATGTACTTTCAACTCCCTGGGGAGAGTCTGGCAGTAAGCATGTTTCCTATGCGTCAGTCGCCTAATGTCGTGGCTGTGACACACCAAGTCCCCATATATCTTTGTATCTGTGAATAGATCTGTCCAACCGTCGTGACGCCGTTTGCAATGGCTTTAACTCCCAGCGTTCTAAATAAGTTTTAATTTGGTAATTTACGAGAACGTAAATCAAAACCAGAATTGATCACATCGACTCTCATATCGACCCTGCATGTTTTGAAAGGCTACATTAAAACCAGGTCTCATAGACACGTAACTAAACTAACTTAAAATGGCTCTTTGACGACGTTATCCGTGCGCAGTAATGCTCACATGCTGGGAACTGTCTACTTACTTTGAAGGTCTCTCTGATCTCACACTCCCATGCTTTATTTTCTTTGTACTTCATCGCCATCATTTCTGCAAACTCTTCGAATTCAATCGACCCGCTATCTGCAATACAATTTACAATCACTCTGTTAGTCTGAAGAAAATGTAATAAATGTTGCTATATAAAAAATGTCACGAGTTCGACATAAAACAAGTTGAGTAATGAGCGAAAAGCCGCTTTGGCAAGTGTTTCAGTTATATCAGTAGCCATGCAAGGAGTGAGTGAGTATGGTCTTATGCCGCGTTTAGTAATATTCAAGCCATATGACGACGTCGAGACACCAGAAGAACATTTTACACACAAGAAACAATGGGAACAACTGAAGTGATGGAGGTCGTAGACATTCAGCGCCTTGATGAAACCCACAAGCAAAGAGATGGTCTAGACATATAGTCATTAAAATAAACTTTGAGGTAACAAACCGAAACATGAGTCTCATTAACCAATTCAGACAATGACCTACTTTTCAGCCGATCCGAATTTTCTCGTGTGAACGTGAAAAGAGACACTACAAACAACTATGGTTACACTGGATTCCACTTCCTTGTTTCACAAGAAAATTATATTTACAAATTATTTTAATTTTTGAACTTTTGAAATTTTATGTCGAGGTTTAGGCAGCATGACATTGGCGTTAACTAAGACATCACAGACTGGCCCTGTTTGTCGTACAATGATTCACAATTCATCTGGCTTACTGGTTACACCTGTTATGTGTTCTTTGCGCTTATCAAATGTATTTGTGTAGCGTACAATGTGATTGATATCATATCAAGTCCGTACCAAACCGCCAAATTCTTCTAGCGGCCGAGCCTCGTTTTGAGATTTCCACTATTTCCAGATTTCCGTTTGTCAGAGCACGCTGCACGACGTGTTTGCAAGGATTAGAAGGAGACTAGCGTTGCAATATAAATGTGCTTAGATGTATCAAATAATACTGAATAATATATATAGATCCAGTTGAATGATTTGGTCTCAATATTCTGGACTGGTTATTGGACTAAGTCGCGCAATAGGACGGAACCCAGTCACCAGGAAACGAGAATGTTGTGTAATCAATGTTTTGACTTGATAAAAATAATTAAAAAAGAGAATCCTCCAGGAAATGGATGATTGCTCTGTTAAATATATTCTTTTATGTCAGTAAGAGGAGCTAGAGTGTGGTACTGACAAACCTTGGTCACGGCGGACCGGGATTCGAACCCACCATCGTAAGTCTCAGGCTGGCATAAGCGACCCGCGTCGCATTAGACGATAGACTAATTATGCCTACGGTAATGCTCAAAACAAATTATACCACACCTCGAGATTTGGTAGATACGCTCTTGTAGAATCGTCGCATATATACAATTAACAGTTTTACTCACGAGCAAGGAAAGGAATGAAGCACAACTGAAACAATGTGTGAGTGAATGAGCTTCAATTTTAGCGATGTCCCTAATAACTCACAGCGATGACCGAACTGGATTCTCACATTGGACCTACCTTGACGTCTTAGTTAGTGAGTGAGTGAGTGAGTGAGTTGGGTTTTAGCAATATTCCACCTATATCACGGCGGGGGACACCGAAAAATGGGCTTCACACATTGTACTCATGTGGGGAATCTTACTTGGGTCTTCAGCGCGACGAGCGAACACTTTAACCACTAGGCTACCCCACCGCCCATTTGACGTCTTAATCACGACGAGTAATCGTCTTAACCTCTCGTCTTCTATCGCTTTGGTAAACTAGCAGTACCCAGGAGTACCCAAAGACTGATACACTGATAAAATGCAATACCTCAAGCCCACAAATAACAACACTTGAAATATACCCTACTGTTAAAAAACAACACCAGCATATTCGATGAAGAAAAGCAACAACAACAATGCCATGTTCCACAAATCATCGTTATCTATAGCTAAAAATAGCTATCTATAAATATGAAATAATAGACAGCAAACAAATTCTAATACGAAAGAGTATTAACTCGAATTAATGACACTCTTGTGTGCAAAGAGCTGGCAAAATGGCAACAATTTACTCAGACCGCTGACAACGTGGATTGGGAAACGGTCTCGAGTGTAAATATTTTGCACTAATGGTCAAATAATTGCTTCTATCGTGGGACAACCATTCATGACACATCCTGGGAATATTGACCAAAAAACAACAACTGTGAAAGGAAAGCTGCCCAAGGCATATCCGATGAACCGTAATTCCTTCATGAAACACCGATACACGCTTGCCCCGATTTAAGGCCTAAATGCCGTCGGGGGTAGAGGGTGGAGAGTCTGCAAGACATATACAGCACGAACGTTTACTCGATGAAATGTGGTAGTCAAACAATGCTACTTTGTTCTAGAATACTGCAGTGCGTAGTACGTACTATAGTCCTTAGTAGCAAGTATCAATGGAACCTATACCGTTTGAACATGAATAATATTGACACTGAGAAACAGGCGTGGTCAATACGTACTTGAGTGCACACACACTTGAGCCAGCCAAGGCAAGGATATTATTCGTATAGATTAGGGATTCTACGCGAATGAATACGATGTTTCACTGTTAAAGCTTGACGATCAAGCATTGGCATGTTTATTTTATTTTTTAAGGTCGTATAAGTGCAAGGAATTTTTGTTTTGTATGAATACATTATTGTGCATATTAAAATCAATATATGTTCAACATATGATCAGTTCGGTTTCACTGTTCCTACATGAGGAAGCAAGTATGGTTTTAGGCCGGTTTTAGCAGTATCAAGTTGATCTTCATGATATCTTATACGATTTATTAAGATCTGTGGGTGGAACCGAAGACATTTGAAAGTGGTATGTTTGTCATATCTGGCCTCAGTCGAAATTCTAATAGATTCTGGATCAGCTGTTGGTCATACTGGTGAGGTGTTTACTCAACTGATCTCCCCTTGTAAGAACAGAGAAAGTGAGGTGTCACACGTTTACAAACCGTCCCTGAGAGGCGTATGGTACTTTCGTCAGCTGTATCTCAGAGCAGATCATTTCTGACCAACTCATGTTATTCTGGGACAAGCCGACTTGCATTTGGTCAAACCTACCCGCTCTTGTTTCAAAGTAACATGTAACCGACCAATCAAACATCGACATACAGGTAAGGAAGAGGAGAAAAGCTAGATTAGGAAACTCACATAACGCCGAATGTGTAACCGTTACTTTTCATGGGCATTACGACATTCTTTACATCAAAAATATTTTGCGTGTCAGTCAGTTTTTCGATATTGAATTTCTCGTAAGCTCTATCATAATGAATGAACCTGGCCGCCATGTTGTTGATATTGCCTACACGGCACAGTTTGACGCTGAGGACCAGATTCGTAACATTACGTCGACGAGACAGATCCTACGACGACTTCGCACTGCGTTTATCTGTTATGCATCACAATACAAAATTACTTTATGAACCTCGAGAGAAGTAAATAATAAATACGATGTGTGCATTGCGTACGCCCAGTGAATAAAAGAACGCCATGAATACCCGAAGCGCCTTTGTTTATAAGATGCACTTGGCGCCTAATGTTTAGACGCATAATCTATCAGTTAGGATCGGTAGACAGCACCTTCAGAAACACTTATGTTCTGGGAAGAGATCTATTATGAGCTCATTATGCTTTCACGGTGAACCCAATGGTATGGAGCGCCCTCGACCGAACCCGATGGCCTGTATTCAATAAGCTGTTTGTGTTAATTCACTGAGGATACATGCATACAGTATAGTTAGTCAACTGCGAACAACGCACCTTGTGGTTAACAGTGTCTTTTGGCTGATCTATTGAATGCATGTTGTCTTTTCACTAGAAGACTGCCATTATATTTAACTGATGGCATCTCGTGGGCGGAAGGTCATAGTTATACACAGACATGCTCCGCTGACAATCTCCGAGTACATGCTGAGCCGACACATGGTGGTCAATATGCAGTCGCAGCGCAATGCAGCAGCTCGAAGACGTACTGGATTAATAGAAACTCGAAAGAAATGATGGTAGGTCGGAGGGCTACAGGGTTAATAGAAGTTCGAAAGTCTACATGACTGGTGGTATGTTGAAGACCTACAGGATTGATGGTAGGTCGAAGGTCTACAGGATTGGTAGGTGGAAGGTCTACAGGATTGATGATAGGTCAAAGGTCTACAGGACTGACAGTAGGTCGAAGGTCTACAGGATTGGTAGGTGGAAGGTCTACTGGATTGGTAGGTGAAAGGACTACTGGATTGGTAGGTGGAAGGTCTACAGGATTGGTAGATCAAAGGTCTACAGGACTGACAGTAGGTCGAGGTCTACAGGGTTGGTAGGTCTAAGGTCTACAGGACTGAAGTTAGGTCTAAGGCCTACAGGACTCACAGTAGGTCAGTGGTCTACAGGACTGACTGCAGGTCGAAGGTCTACAGGACTGACAGTAGGTCGAAGGCCTACAGGACTGACAGTAGGTCTAAGGTCTAAATGATTGATGGTAGGTGCGAGAGTGAGTGAGTTGTTTTTTACACAGCTTTCAGCAATATTACAGCAATATCACGACGGGGGACACCAGAAATGGGCTTCACACATTGTACCAATGTGGAGAAACGAACCTGGGCCTAGTAGGTCTAAGGTCTATAGGACTGACAGTAGGTTGAGGGTCTGCAGGACTAGGTTGAAAGCCTAAAAGACGAATAGGTCGAAGCCCTACAAGACTGAAATAAGCTGTGATCGATAGAACCGCGACAGCCTACAGGATGTACAGAGGGTCGGAGCCTACAGAAGTGATGGCAGGTTGAAAGCCTACAGAACGACGTCCTGGGAAAGATCATTCCATATCGTTGGAACGATTTGGCGGAGTTCCTGCAGCGCTTTTGTAAAGATTCGGATGACGTCGTAAACGTCACTCCATTTAATTCCGGACGTGTTCGATGGGTGACAAATCAGGGAATCTTGCAGGCCAGTGAAGGAAACGTGGCTCATCGGTGAAGAGAACTCCACTCTCCACTCACGTGCTCATCATCGCAAGAGTTATCTGCTCCACTTAAGACGTCGATCGATGTTCTGGCGTCAGAATTGGGCAGATTGATAATAGGTCTAAGGTCTATAGGACTGACAGTAGCTGAAAGACTAGGTTGAACGCCTAAAAGCTGAGCGTCTTACACTGTAAGGGATAACAATGAAGGCGGCCGGCCGGCACACAAAACATTTATTCATGACGACTAAACAGGACTGAAGTCAAGACGAGACTGATGAACACATGCAGCACGGACGACCCGCTAACAATACTCAGACCTGACTGGCTCACCGTCTCACGTGTGTGATGCACGGGTATCGCAATACTTAAAGGGACCAGCTTTTGTTAGACTGCACTGAGTGGAAATGATAAGCGTCTGGTGCAATGAACGTTGCCGGCCATTTTTCTCGAAAATGTCATGCTTCTTGCAAAATGCGTTTCTTTTACCATTTTAACACATTTTTTCTCTTGTTCAAACCCCAAAATCCATCCACAAGATTACCAATGAAAAGTTGACGGAGGCCTATAGAAAATCTGGATTGATGTCGTGGTCAACGACCTACGCCATCGAAGGCCGATGACACGCAATCAACCAAATGATACACAGGACCACCAGGCCGACTCTTATATACAAAAGTTCATTCAGGGCCTAAATTCTAACCTGTAATTTTTCCTCTCTTTTTATCGTGGCGTAACAGATAGCTTTATAGGTTTAAAATACAGCATGTACGAATTGTTGTTGAGATGAGATGTAATAAATAACACACAACCCTCAAATACGAAAAGACAAAGTATGCGTATGTAAAGTGTACGTACTGTCGAGGTCGGCTTTGGCTATCATGTCCCTGATTTCCTGGTCGGTGGAGCGGGTCTTGCTCTTGGCCACCACTTCCTTGAATTCCTCGTGAGAGATGCTGCCACTTTTGTCACGGTCCATCAAACGGAACGTAGTATGGAAATCTGAAAATATAAAAATGTTTAGTAAGTGCTGGGGTCTTAATCACATCACTGAAAAACGCCTGCCTAAGCAGTAACCTGAACTCAGATAAACAGTAACCTGAACTGAGTTATAAGAACCTCAACTCATTCAAACAGTTACAGGAATCTCAACAGATAAACAGTAACTAACCTTAACACAGATAAAGTAACAGTAACCTCAACACAGATAAACAGTAAAGTAAACCTCAACACAGATAAACACAGATAAACAGATTAACAGTAACCTTAACACAGATAAACAGTAACCTCAACACAGAGAAACAGTAACAGTAACCTCAACACAGATAAACAGTAACAGTAACCTCAACACAGATAAACAGTAACAGTAACCTCAACACAGATAAACAGTAACAGTAACCTCAACACAGATAAACAGTAACCTCAACACAGATGAAACAGTAACAGTAACCTCAACACAGATAAATAAACAGATAAGTAACCTCAACACAGATAAACAGTAGAGAAACAGTAACAGTAACCTCAACACAGTAACCTCAACACAGATAAACAGTAACCTCAACACAGATAAACAGTAACAGTAATAACACAGTAACAGTAACCTCAACACAGATAAACAGTAACCTCAACACAGATCAGTAACCTCAACACAGATAAACAGACCTCAACACAGATAAACAGTAACCTCAACACAGATAAACAGCAGTAGCCTCAACACTCAACACAGATAACAGTAACCTCAACACAGATAAAACAGTAAAACAGTAACTCAACACACAGATAAACAGTAACAGTCAAACCTCAACACAGATAAACAGCAACAGTAAACCTCAACACAGATAAACACAGATAACAGTAACCTCAACACAGATAAACAGTAACAGTAACCTAAACAACACAGATAAACAGTACAGTAACACTCAGTAAACACAGATAAAGATAAACAGTAACCTCAACACACAGATAAACAGATAAACAGTAACCTCTCAACACAGATAAACACAGTAACCTCAACACAGATAAACAGTACAGTAACCTCAACACAGATAAACAGTAACAGTAACCTCAACACAGATAAACAGTAACCTCAACACAGATAAAAGTAACCTCAACACAGATAAACAGTAACCTCAACACAGATAAACAGTAACAGTAACCTCAACACAGATAAACAGCAACAGTAACCTCAGTAGTCTCAGTTTCACATCAATGAAGTGTTGCCTGGGAATCATCAAAGTCCCCATGCCAACATCAGTGTCAAGAGATTCAGACGATGGAACATGTTTGCTGTCACTGAACTACAACAACTGCGGAGTAAATGCGTTAAGCAATAAAGTGACATTAAATTCAAACCATAGCCAATTAAATTAAAATATTCATCAGCTAAGACTATGATTAACAATGTGGTCGTTAAAACGAAGCACTTGCGCAGTCGACAATATTCTGCATAGCCAATTAAATTAAAATATTCATCAGCTCTTTAACCTGATCGTTAAAAGCGAAGCACTGTCGAAGATTATATTGACTTGGCAAGATATCCGCCAGTATACGGCGCAATAGTTACAGTACAGAGAAGTGGAGTCTTGTGCTACAATCAGACTGGTTCCTGATGTTCGTGGTGAGTATTGATGCCAAAGAAACAAACGTTTCAAGCAAGGTCATTCTCTTTGACTGCCATTCTCCTTGTGGATACTGAATCAGCCTTCCGTGAAAGGTCAACAAGGTGATCATGGGTTACCACACTCTATATGATTGGAACCTGAAGGATGAATCGTTCATGACCAACAAAGGTCAACAAAGTGAGAATGTGGTTGGACATTTTGTGGAATTAAACCTGGCTGTATTACACTGACATCATATATGGCTGGTTTGGATTGTAATCGTACCTAGCTGTCTTGGACTGACACCATACTTGGCTGCTTTGGGTTGACGTCGATGGCATTGCATCAACGCTCACAGACAGGGCATGTTGATCTTCAACCTACTGTCGTAAAGGGGCGGTGAGATAGCCCAACGGTTATAGCGTTCGCTCGTCACGCCGAAGGCCCGGGTTCGACTCCCCACATGGGTACATGTGTGAAGCCAATTTCTGGTGGCCCCCCGTCGTGATATTGCTGGAATATTGCTAAAAGTGGCGTAAAACCCAACTCACTCACTCACTACTGTCGTAAAACACCGCAATACACTTCTCGCAGTCATGTCATTTATATGTTTCTTGCTTCGAATCCCATTTGCGTTTCGATTATGATTCTTGGTCTGCCAACATCTATCCAGTCACGATTTAAACAATCGACAAAACAAATAACCTTTCCGTTGCTTCTATGCACTTCAATTTCCTCTTCAGAGCCGCTTGATACAAAAACGGATCTTTAATTATTGACGTACTTTTAAAAGTTCAATACATTTACTTTCAGGGACGTTTTTATTTTACAGTGTTTTTCAAAGAACTTGTCGTAGACAAGTAGCATATTGAGGCAGGATCTCAGCTGGGTTTCTAAACTGTAGCATCAGAAAGTAAACACACACGCATGTGCTCCTACTGTGCAGTATTAATGCAAGATGCTGGAGCAGAATGTTCATTCGCATAAACATTGTCATTCTGTGCAAATATTCACAGTTAACCATTAGTCGATAATGGCTGTCTGTCACATTGCGTCCTGTAGTTCGAGGTTTAATCGATAGAAGACAAGTTGATGTTTGCTCATCAAACGTTCGTGGAGACACATTACGTTTTCGTGGCGCGAGGGACTGATTTGTTGCCATAGCACACTGAAAACTCAAACACTGTGGGACAATACAACATGTTCTCAGTTAAATATAGTTTCAGCGATGCGCTGCCACGTAAAGGCTGCCTTTTTCTAATGATTTAAATATCTGATGATTCTGATCATTTATTTATTTCTATTTATTGATGAAAAACATGGAACCAATCCAACTACAACAGCTTGACGGACTTTTAGCCACGAGATACGTAACGGAAAATAGTTTATGGGTACCCAACAGTTTTGGAATTATATCTCTGTAAGACATGTTATTCTTGCTTCATGCAACGTGACTACCACAAATGTTCTCTTTGCCACGTATTTCTTGCTTGCGTTACTCTGGAAACCTGTGTTACTGCTGAAGGTAGTGAGTGAGTGAGTGAGTGAGTCTAGTTTTACGCCGCTTTTAGCAATATTCCACCAATATCACGGCGGGGGCCACCAGGAATGGGCTTCACACATTGTAGCCATGTGGGGAATCGAACCCGCATCTTCGGCGTGACGAGCGAACACTTTAACCACTAGCGAACACTACTGCATAAGGTAAACTGAAAAGTAGTTATGTGATAAAGTGTGAAATACACGTTGGAGATCAACATAGTATTTCTTTACAAAATGCAGCATGAAAACCCATGTTTTTGTGAGTTGTGATATGTAGATATGGATACGGATATTGAGATATGAAATATCCCTGTTTTATCGATATCAAAATATAGTATGACCAGAAATTATTGAGAATTTTAGGAATATGTTTAATTGGATTTCTAGTATAAACAACCTTGACCAGCTATCAAGTGCTTGGTTTCATTCAAAAGAGACAACTCCGTTAATCCCTTTTCATTAGTTTGTGAAGAGTTATCCCCCTCTGTTTACTTGCTAGCAGACGACATTTTCAGTGATCCTCAGTATGGATGATTTAGAGAAGAGGAAGTTGATTTTAGAGTATTATAACAAGGACATCAGATCGCTAAAGTGATTTCAAGTAGAAAAGGCATCCCTTTGTCCACAGTTTATCGTGTTTTGAAAAATATTGCAAATGGATATGGCATTGAGCACCAGGTAGGCGCAGGTAGGCCCAGATAATTGACTGTCGGTGACAGGAGGCGACTTGGTATTCTTGTTTCTAAAAACAAACGAAGGAGTTTAGAAAACTTAAGGCTGGATATGATTGATAGAGGAACTGGGGCTGTCTGTGAGGAGACAATTAGAACTGAGCTGCATGCAATGGGTTGGCAGAAAAGTCGAGGAATTCCGTCACCGATCATGAAACCTGAACAAAAGGAGCGAAAGTTGAACTGATGCTTACAGCATAGAAATTTTAACTGGGACAATGTGATTTTCTCAGATGAAAGTTCTGTGTGGCTGTTTCCTAATACACTGAAATTCTGGACCAATCAAACTGAAAAACATTTGTATCAGCGCCCAAAGTACAGTCCGAAACGTAACGTGTGGGGTGGCATATCTGTGTTGGAGGCAACGCCCCTCTGTGTATTTGAAGGGAATATGAACAGTGAGCGGTACACAGATATTCTCGATGGACATTTACTTCCATCTGCTCACGTGTTCTATGGAAGTTTTTGGATTTTCCAGCAAGACAACGACCCAAAACATCGTTCAAAGCATTCACAGGCCTGGTTTCGGACCCAAAATATGACATTATTAGATTGGCCAAGCTATAGCCCCGACCTAAATAGAAAATGTTTGGGGATTTATGAAGGAAAGTGTCAATAAGATAAATCTGACAAATATTGCTGAAATGAAAGAAGAGGTGGTCCGATATTGGGATAGCATTGACCACGACTTTCTAACTTCTTTGATCAGTAGTATGCCCCGCCGCATTGAAGCCTGCCTTGCTGCCCATAATGACTTGACAAAATACTAACTGTTCACCTGTAATACGTGAGTCATGAGTGAAAAAAAATAAATTACAATCTTTAAATTCTTAATAATTTCTGGTTGTACTGTCGATATAGGGTATTTATCCATGGATCTCATGAAATTTCAGATGGGATCCGAAGGGTCTTTGGAAATACAACTGTCTTTCAAACCCTCCTTCTTCAAACTCATATCTTGGGATGTTTGTACCATCCGCCCGCAGTGGTACCTCGGAATAGTGGTTTTTGTTATTTACAATTCAAAAGTAGCAATGGATCATTTCAACGAAGAAATTGTCACGACAGATTTTTAGATAAGAAATCAGTAACGATTACGAATATATCGAGTTGATAACGCGGGATGCAC